GATGAGTCTCAACTGGGTCCCAGAGAATCCATTTTATTTAGTTTTCAATTTCTCCAGGTTGATATCAATGGGCAACCAGATTTGTGAACTTGGTTTTGAGCTGGACTGTAAGGTCGGTGGTTCAAGTTCATCAGCTGCTCCATGGAAACCCTATACAGGGTTGCTATGAGTCAGAACCAACTGGATGACACTTAATCACAATAATGTAGAAAACATTCTCACAGATGAAGCTTTTGTCTCCCCGAGGATTTAGAGCTAGAAGTCAATCCAAGGTCAAATACCAAAAACAAGTTATTAAAATGGGGGTAATCTAGTACTCGCTGTTGAGAAATAGTCAGGGCACCAAAGGGAAACCAGGATCAGGGGTGAAGCAGGCCATATAAAACAGGAAAGGAGGTCAGAATGCGACCACAGAATCATTAGCAGTGCACAGAAGAAGAGTGTAAACCAGAATATAGGAAGCTCTGGCATTCACAGCTAAGACCAGCCTGGCTTCACTCTTAGAGGAGGCTTCATCTACACTGGACTGTAGACTCGCTCAGGATTAAACAATCTCTAACTGCCTCAGAATCGACGGCACTTAACAACAACAACAACAACAACTGCCTCAGAAGCCAGCATTTTGGTTTAGACAGAATGATATTACTAACATCCTCACTGGTTGAGACCTCGAATACATGATCTGATTTTAATGGAATGAGGCCTATGTGTGTAGGTGTCCTCACTTGTATGTGTGTGTTTACTCTTTGTGTAGAATCCTTTAAACATTTGTGTGAGAGCTTTAAGTAAATGTACTTGGCCTGGACCTGAGTCCAGACTCTATTGTAACTTCTGCTTACTTCCATAACCACCATTACCGTTTATGCAAACTTACACATATGACTGAGGAAATGTTTTCTGTTTTGTTTTGTAATGCTAAGGAAGAGTGGGGACGAAGCATTCTGAGAAGTCTTGACACTAAAGACAGATCTGAAATCCCGCAAGCAGCTCTCAGGAAATGTTTAACCCAAGAAGCTATTTTATTAGAATGTTTTCAGAAACTAAATATCTTAGCATTGTCTTGTGACAAGCTGGTAAACCCTCCTATTTTGTCATAGACTTCTGTAATTATCTCATGTAACCAAGAAACTCACATATACACTGTAAGCCAATCAAGACAAAAACTTAATGTTTGCCCATTTCTACTTTCCTTAATGTTAGACTCAGGAGCTCTGGTAGCATAGTGGTTACGAATAGGGCTGCGAACCTCAAGGTCAGCAGTTCGAAACTACCAGCTGTTCTGCAGGAGAAAGATGAGGCTTTCTGCTCCTGTAAAGATTTACAGCCTCAGAAACCCTGTACAGGGTTGCTATGAGTTAGAACCAACTCCATAGCACATAACAACAACAAATGTTAGACTGCCAATCAGAAATTTACGGGGTTCGTTCCTGATTTTGTCACGTACATGTGTCTGTTCAGTTTCAACTGCTGGGAGTGCTGTGTTTTAATTTAGTAGTCCTAGTGTATCCCCAGATCAAACCGTTTTCAAGCCTTTAATAAATCTCTTTACATTTTAAGAGAGTACACATTTGTATTCTAAGACACATTTGTTACTTACAAATTGAGTTGTACAAATACAAGTTGAGTATTCAACTTGTATTGTAGATCTTTTACAAATGAGTTCAAACTTCCCATAAAATAAGAAGACAGTTGTTATTTCTTGGGTAACAGTAATACATTTATTTCATTATAATTTGTTTTCATTCATAAAAAGGACAAAGCACAGTCCTATACTACTCCATTGAAAAAATGATAAAAAATAACTAAAAAACCAATTCAATATTCATCAGTATCAAATAAAACTACTATCACCTTTCTTGAAATACAAAGAAACAGATGTCTATATATCTATATAAAGTTTAATTAAGAATCTTGTGTCTCAAAGCAGATGATATATTAGTTAGTTTGACTACAGTTGAAAACTGATGGTCCCATTCAAATTTTTACAATTGTATGTAGGAAGAAATGAAAGGCTTGAGTTATCAGTATGAGCAATTTTAATCTACTTTGTCTTTGCCACAAATTTAAAATTAAATAACCTCCAAAGTCCATTTTCTTTTTTACTTTCAGAACCACTTCATGCAAAATCTAACCAGCTTTGCTCTTTATTAACATATATTTGAAAATAAAAGGCAATCATGCAATTGCAAAAAAAAAAAAAAATTAGTTGTTGATTATATAAAAATGCCCAACATGGGTTACATTGGAATAAAATAAACCAAAACACCCCCAAATTATAACAATGAAAATACAATATTTGTACAGAAGGCTTACAGAATATTAATTTCCCAAAGTGCGAATACATTTTGCTTCCTTTCCGAATGCTTAAATATTTTATGAAATCTGGTAATGATCTTAAGAATGTTGACATACTTCCCCTGGGAAATCATCCATTTCATTTATTTAAAAAAGTTTCATTTTATAACAAAGAGTTAAATGTAAACTAATGAAATATTTATTGATATTTTTATAATGAAAGCTCTAAACATTTACACATAGATATATAGTACAAAATTATACAAATTAAAGAAAGGGGGTAAAGTAGTAAGAGATCTATTTTGCTTCCTGTAAATATTTTTTTTTTTTATGAACCTATAAGGTATCCTTTCTAAAAAGATAAACTCTATCTCTAATTAGCTAGCAAGGTTGTGCTAATAAAATAGGATTATACCTCTTGAAACATCATTGCACTATTTTATAAGCCAGCTAATCCTTTATTATTCAATTTCTTTCACAGCCACACTCAAATACATTTCCTTGCACACCATGGAGAATGAAGAAATGTGTGTCTTCCTTTGCACAATTTATAAAAACCCAAAGCACAAACACTTGGGAGATATATAGGCAAGACACATTGTCTCCCCCTGGCCTTCAACTTTTGCATACCTTCAATTTTGCATACTCTTCAAAGTACCATTGGCAATATATTGATTTGGTATTTTTAGCCAGTTTTCAGTATTGCATTGAAACAGGAAATTAGTTTCTAAGTTGAAAAAAAATAAAAGAAAGGAATATGTAGCTTTTCAACCTACAGATGATTTCTTGATCCCATACCTTCAATTAAAAAAAAAAAAAAAAGATTTAACTTTGGAGTGAAGCACTATAACAGATATTAGAATTTTATTACAGTTGACCCTGAACAACGTGATGGTTAGGGACAGTAAGTCGCTATGCAGTTGAAAATCCATGTGTAACTTGTGACTCACCCAGAAAATTAACTGCTAATAATTTACTGTTGACCAGAAGCCTCCCTGGTAACATAAACAAACAATTAACACATATTTTGTATGTTATATATATTATACTGCACCCACATAAAAGCTGCATTTTAACATGAGATCAAAAGGTATTTTGCAAAAATGCAAGGTTTTTGCTCCTGCTGGCATAGATGCAGTGATGACTTTATAAAATCCCTTTTCTTTTCTTTTTTTTTTTTTTCTTTTTTTTTTGTGAATTATATGATAGTTTACATGGGAGAACTTTAGTTTTATTTACAATGGTCCTTATACTGGATTCATTTATCTTGAACTAGTGGGCAACTATAACTGCAGACCTCTCTCTATTGTACATATTAAGAAAATCAAGTTTTCCTTGTAATGTCATAATGTTTTTCTGCTTCTTTGGAACACTTACAGCATCACTAGTGGTACTTCCTTTGGGTCCCATGATATTATTATTCAAAGTTTACAGTATTGCACTCAACAAAATGAAAAATATGTGAGAACCATGAGAGATCATTTCTAACTGTGATACACAATTTACTGGAGAAATGAAGTGCTCACACAGAGATGATTGGCATCACATGGCATTTTAAGCTGATACTTTTGCAACACTTGAGCTCACCACAGTAACAACAGGAGGTGGCTATGACACTATTATTACATTAGTACAGTATGCACTGCAGTGAAGTTTGTGCAGTTATGATTTAATACTGTATCTTGACATTTGTTTACATTTCTTTCAATTGTAAATAGTTCCATGTATGGTTGATCTGTAAGTGTTTGTGTGTGTTTTGATAAATGTTAACTTTTTATAATAGGTTTTTGTCTATTTTAAGGTAGTAAATGATAGACTAGTATCAACATTTGTTTTATATATCCATGACATACCTAACTTTTTCATAATTTTATATACCTAGGCTATGCAGTTTGTGAGTTTTTTTCAAACTGTCACAACTCTACCAAAAAATTTCTGATTTATTGAAAAAAGAATTCCATGTACAAATGGGCACGTGCAGTTCAAGTCTATGTTGTTCAATGGTCAACTGTAGATAATCCTAATAACTGCTTGTCATTTATTCTGAGCTGTGTAAAGATAGTCACATCTCTATTAAAAATCATGGAAGCACTCTATTTTTCAGAATTCAACCTCCTATTAATAAAAAGGTTACATTGTGATACTCCAGATCAGAGCTGTGAGTTTTATGTTTAAAACTGATGATTAAGAAAAACATAAAATAACTTCACAGTAGAATACAAAAGTTAAAAAAAAAAAAATCCACAGATGTTAAAGAATTGAAACATATTATTTACTATGACAGTCAAATATTTAAAAAAGTATTTACTTTGAAAATAAGAATACTGATAATAAATCTAGAATTTAGTTCTCAATATTAAAACCTTTTCAACTCATTCAGTAAAATGATTTGGTAATGGGACTTATGTCAAAATGAATCAGTTATATTCTTTTTTGTTATGTTTTATGGAAACTCAAAATGTCATCAATGATAGGGGCCATTCAAAAATATGCAGGACCCCAAACATAAAGGATAGTACAAGAGACTGAATTACTCTTACATTTACCACATACAATCAACATTTCAACCTCTATTATATTTCACAACTTGATACTAAATTTGAAGCACCTGTGTCTGGTGATTTAATTTTTCACTCTACAGCCTATTGTATTGAATTGAACACTGAAACTTGTCCCATTGTATTAAATCATGCAACTGTCACAGAATCAGGTTAAGTGGTTTATAAGGCATATTGGAACGAGTTAAAAATCATTTTATATCCACTTAATGAAAAGTTTATTCTTTTGGATGGAGGGGTTCCTGAATGCCTCAGTCAAAATGTGTGTTGTAAATCAGCTGAATAGTTTGTTAAAGTATAATTTATCTGGCTGGAATGGAGCCGCAGGAATTGGAAGGAATTGTAGACATCACAGGATTGATGGGTGTCTACTGAGCTGGGCTGGGAATAGCAGCTGTCACACCACATTCAAAATTCCAAGTAGACAAGGATGCCAAGGGCAGGCAGCAGGAAGCCAAGGAAACTCTGTGATAGAATGGATGCACCTGCAAGGTAAACAAAAAAGTGTATGTATAATTTTATTGGTAAATGGCCATTATTGCTCTTTTAGTTTGCTTTGGGCAATTCCAGATTGTGCAGCCCTGAACGCCAAATATTTCACATAAGTGATTTACAGAAATAAAAGACACACGATCAAAAGAGTTCGAAATGTTTATGTGTAAATATGTGCACTACTCCTTCAGCATGCTTAATTAAGTCATTCAGGATAATAAAAACAGACATATTTATGTTGACTTTATGGTCTAGCAGTCTCAGATTCCCACTAATAGGCCAAAGGTAATATTTTAGGAAATTTATAAATGAGTACAACTATATGTAATATTAAAAAAAAGAGAAAGTGAAAATATTAATAATGTTACCAGTGATCGTGACATCATAGATGCACTGGGTAGATTTTACACATTTTCTTATCCTAATGGCATCAGGATTGGAGGAAGACTCATTAACAACCTGTGATATGCAGATGATACAACCTTGCTTGCTGAAAGCAAATAGGATGTGAAATACTTACTGATGAAATTTAAAGACCACAGCCTGAAGGCTGTGTATGAGTAGTCTTTCAATGTAAGGAAAACAAAAATCCTCACCACTGGAGAATAAATAATATCATGGTAAATGGAGAAAAGATTTAACTTCAAAGATTTCATTTTGCTTACGTCCACTATCAGCACTCATGGAAGGAGCAGTCAAAAAATCAAATGTCATATTTCATTAGGCAAATCTACTGCACAAGACCTCTTTAAAGTGTTGAAGAGGAAAGATGTCAGTTTGAGGATTAAGGTGAGCCTGACCCAAGCCATGGTATTTTTAACAGCTTCATATGCATGTGCAAGTTGGGTAATGAACAGGGAAGAGAAAGACTATAGGATAATTGATGCATTTTAGTTATTGTGTTGGAGAAAAATATTAAAAGTACCATGAACTGCTAGAAGAACAAACAAATCTGTGCTGCAAGACGTACACATCGAATGCTCCTTAGAAGCAAGGATGAGAGACTTTGTCATTCATACTTTGGACATAATATTAGGAGGGACCCATCCCTGGAGAAGGATATCTGCTTAGTAAAGTGGAGGGTCAGTGAAAAAGACAAATCCACCAAGGAGATGGATTGGCACAGTGACAGCAATGGGCTCAAGTCTATCAATGATTGTGAAGAAGGTGCATGATCCAGCAATACTTCATTCTATTATGTATAAGGTTGCTATGAGTCAGAACTGACTTGTAAGCACAACAACAACAAAGGTTTTAAAGAAATTCTAGTGTTTCATTGTAGGATAGGCACGGGATTGTTAACCTAACTACTGATGGTTCAACCCATCAGTTGCTCTTTAGAAAACCTATACAGGGTCTCTATGAGTTGGAACTGACTCAGTGGCACTTAACAACAACAATGGTTTTAAGACATCTATCTAGGTGCTGATACACAATGACTTCAGGAAAGTGTTTTTGATTATACTGAATAAATTTCTATTGGAATTTTACCTAAAGGAAAATGGTTGGAGTTATTACGCTGTATACTTAAAATAGAAATAATATACTGTGAATTTATATTACATTTTAAGTGTTGCATAGGAGGATGACTCCTGTGGTAATGAAATTGTATGTGTCTAAATTCTGCCCACTAGACTTTTAAGGACTGAAAAGTGGGACCTAGACACATATTTTTTGCTTTCTATTCTTCACATCCACCACTCGTCTGTCAGTTTGTCGTACTGTGGTGGCTTGTGAGTTGCTATGATTCTGGAAGCTATGCCACCGGTATTTTAAATACCAGCAGGGTCACCCATGGTGGGCAGGTTTCAGATGAGCTTCCAGATGAAGACAGACTAGGAAGAAGGAGTGGTAAACTACTTCCGAATATTTAGTCACTGAAAACCTTATGAATAGCAGAGAAACACTGTCAGATATAGTGCCAGAAAATGAGTCCCTCAGGTTGGAAGGCATGCAAAATGCAACTGGGGAAGAGCTGCCTCCTCAAAGTAGAGTTGACCATGATGACGTGAATAGAGTAAAGCCTGTGATGACCTTCCTTTGATGATGCAGCACAACTCAAAATGAAGAGAAAGAGCTGTAAACATCCATTAATAACTGGAACATGGAATATATGAAGTATTAATCTAGGAAAATAGAAAATTGTCAAAAATGAAATGAAACACATAAACATGGATATCTTTGGGATTAGTGAGCTGAAATGAACTGGTATTGGCCATTTTGAATCTGATAACCACATGGTTTCCTATGCCAGGAATGACAAATTGAAGAGGAAAGGTGTTGCATTCATTGTCAAAAAGAACAGATTCAGATCAGTCATGAGGTACAACATTGTCTGTGATAGGATAATATCCATGCACCTACAGGAAAGCCCAGTTAATACCATCATTATTCAAATTTACTCACCAACCACTAAAACCAGTGAGGATGAAACAGAAGAATTCTACCAACTTCTCCAATCTGAAATTGATCAAACATGAAATCAAGATGTACTGATCATTACTGGTGATTGGAATGCAAAGGTTGGGAGCAAAGAGGAAGGATCAGTAGTTGGAAAATATGTCTTTGGTGATAGAAATAATGCTGGAGATCACATGATAGAATTCTGCAAAATCAATGTTTTTTTCATTTCAAATATCTTCTTTAAACAGCATAAGAGACGATTATACACATGGACCTAACCAGAAGGAATACATAGAAATCAAATTGACCACATCTGTGGAAAGAGACAATGGAAAAGTTCCATATCATCAATGAAAATAAGATCAGTGGCAGACTGTGGAACAGACCATCAATGACTCATTCTGAACTGAATCTGAAGAAAATGAAAGCAAGTTCACGAGAGTCAAAATATGACCTTGACTATATCCCAATTGAATTTAGAGATTAGCTGAAGAACAGATTTGATATATTAAACACTAAAGACCAAAGACCAGAATTGTTGTGGGATGACAGCAAGAACATCATACATGAAGAAAGCAAAAAGTCATTAAGAAAACAAGAAAGAAGGAAAATATCAACATGTATGCCAGAAGAGACACTAAAACTTGCTTTCCAGCATAGAGATGCTAAAGTAAATGGACGAAATGAGGAAGTCCAAGAGCTGAACTGAAAATTTCAAAGAACAGCTCGAGAAGATAAAGCCAACTATTACAACAAAATTGGCAAAATCTGGAGTCAGAAAACCAAAAAGAAAGAACACACTCAGCATTTCTCAAGTTGGGGAACTGAAGAAAAAATTCAAGCCTCGACTTTTGTTATTGAAGGATTCTCTGGGCAAATTATTGAATGATGCAGAAAGCATCAAAAGACGATGGAAGGAATGCACAGAGTCACCATACCAAAAGGAAATTGTTGATGTTCAACCATTTCAAGAGGTAGCATATGATCAAGAGCCATTGATACTGAAGGAAGAAGTCCAAGGTGCATTGA